ACATCAATTCGCTTAATGCCAGCTATGGTCCAGTTAAGGCTGTTAAAATTTTATTGCATCACAGAGACCGCCAAAGTGTTTATGGCTAATATTCTGTTTTGTGAATTCAACTCAGTATTTAACTCCAGATCCACACGCCTATAATATTCTTTTCTTACTTTCTACTTCATTTGGATATGCTGTATGCCATCTCGTTTTTTGACTTCTAGGTATTTATAGGTTTCTTCTTGTTCCAGTTCCTTAATCTTTGTGACAAAATCGAGATCTATTGAATGTGTTTCCGTAATTCTTTTTTTTTTTTTTTTTTTTTTTTTTTTGAAATGCGAAAGGGTGATCAAGGATAGACAAAAAAAGAGAAGGGGCGCCAGGGACTCTCCTTGAAAGATTCCTCGTCGGATATTCAAGCGATTGGAAATGGCTGTACCTTTGGTGTGATTTAAGTATTGTATGGTTTTCCCACAGTCCCATGCTATATTTAAAGACATTTACTGTCATCGAGAAGACTTTGTACATTTCTAAAGTCATAAAGATCCAAGAATGTGGCACACTGTCTTTACGATAATCTATCCAAGCTGTGCTTAGATTGCTAGCTTTTTTCCTGTAATTTTCCAAGATCATATGAACGTCTTGGGCTTCTCTTCAGTTCCAGAGAAAGAATATTGTTTTCATCGATGATGATGATGATGATGATGATGATGATGATGATGATGATGATTTGAAATTTGCCATTTTCAATATATGCAAGTTCAGTGATAATCGAAAAAGTCTTTTGACCCCAAGCTGTATTTTTCTTAAAGTATCATTTTAAATATCTGTAAAGAAGCCGTTGATATTTTTCTTATTTTTACCAAAATATTACTTTGTTTAAAAATTACTAAGTGTAATGGTAAAATCACTTTTCTCAAAGTCAATTAATTGGCCTGTCGATGAAACTAGTTGCAGCCTTTAACATTTTTAGACTAATTACCCAAGTTTTCTTAAATATATATAACTGTAAAGTGGGTTATTTCAAATAAAGTGGTATTGGTTGCAAGTATTTTCAGCGAAAATGGTAACCACTGATGCCACCATTACTTTTCAGTTGCAAGTATGATTGGCTAGTATCATATAGGCCTGCTTATCTGTTCAAAGCCAGCTTATTTAAATTACAGTTATCATCTGCTTGAGAACTTTTCTTATATTTTTGTTATTGTCTTTTGACGAATAGTTTTCTTTGCCGCACGTTTTTTGCTTTTAAAATCAGCGTCGCAATTAATAACAAATGCAAAGAGAAAAGTTTTTACGTCAGTTTTTTCTCAACATATTTATTAATAATATGAATGGAAATAAAACTGAAAAATCATGCAACAAATAATTCAAGAATTTAATATTTAAAAGCATCTCACGAGAACAATATTGCTGTCCAGAACTGCTTTTGCATCGTCTATGTTAGTTACTGTATCTACTCTGAGGCGTAGGTAATCTCATTTCCATCTATCAAATAACAATCTCTGTTTGCAAGTATGCTAAGACAGTACATGGTTTCTCATTTCTGGCTTATCTTAATTTTATGAGACGCTAATGTCAAATTTACCAGAGTTGATGTGAAACATCGGTGTATCCTGAAGAATCACGCGCAAGATTTTCTCAGTGTTCTCATAGCACTGGGAAAAAAAATTAATTTCAAATTCTACCTCAGATGCCGAGTCAGTAGAATTTGTCATTACAAACCAACTAAAAATATTTTCTAAACTAAAGCAAAACTAATTTTAGTATTAATAAAAATAACAAATAATTAACACAAAAATGTTCTTAGAGAGAAACTGATTAACCGTAGAATATCAAATACAAGAGAAATTATGTTTATTAATAAAACAATTTGTGATTATAATGTACAATCGACCATGCGATTTTGATATTTTCAAGTCATTGATCTTTCTTTTGCTTTTTTTTTTGTTTTTTGTTTTTTCTAAAACCTGAAGCATTATACTTAGGAATTTGTCAGAGAAAAATTACGGCCAAAATTACGGACTTCTTTTAGAGGATAGTTTATTTTTAGCTTGGGTTTTCGAAGTGAGACAATTATTTTGTTGAGTGGATATTTCAAAATGTGATGATTAAAGATAAATAAGATCTAAACTCCACATTCTGATCAGTAAAATTAAGCCTATCATATCTTGTATTAAATATTTTAAAGAAAACAAATGATCCATAGAAATTGATCCTAATTTATCCATAAAACTTCTGCATCTTTCCCCAAATACCAAGTAACAGATGTTACAATTTTTTAAAAAAATACTTAATGTGGGGTATTTTCTGTTGAAAATGTGAAAGAAGGAAACATAAATTTTGTTTAAGTGATTTAAACTTGTCAACCATTGGTCAATAAAATAATTATGTAATGAATACCAGTAGAATTTAAAACATTGATTGCCGATGAAGCTTAACTCGTCTGATAATCACATTACCTATTTCTGTCATTTGATGATTGTTGATTTAAGATATTTTGAAAGTACATAGTGATTAGTTGAGAACTGTATTTGTGACAATGACAGCTTCCATTGAAATACGATGACCATCTTTTAGCAAAATACTTTTTGGTACATTTCAGTATAACATCTGTTAGAGATTTTCAGAAATTTTCGATGAGTAAAGGAATTACACCTTACCAGAGAAATTTAATGAATATCACTCTTAAAGTATTAAAAATAAATTGTTTTTCAGAGATTTAGTCAAAAAGAAATTTATTTTTCACAGATTTAAGGGATATGCTAATAATGAAAGAATCGAATATATATATACATTTTCCTCTTATTATTGAAATATATTGCAGCGATATATATTTTTCAGAGTTTAATGTCACCTATTTTACGAAATATACAATTTACTTCTTGGACAAGCATCATAACCTAATTTACTAGTAACAATGATCAGTTACCATTTGTCTCGAAAAAAAATGAAGATATAATTAAATGAGACAAGACTGTTTTGTGGTAAAAAATATTTGCTTTGTATTCGTGATTATTTTGATAGAAAATGATGGAAAATATTCTGTTTAATGACGCAAAATTGACTTTGTGAATTGAGAATTCAAAAAATATTATGGCATATTTTATAAACGGCTAAATCTACAGGTTATAGGTTAACCTGTTGGATTATACGCGGCCATAGCCTCACCACGTCAGGGTGTCACTGCTGTGATTTCCATAGCAAGTAGGTGGAATAAATCTCCTTCCGTAGTATTCCTTATAAAGACTATGTAAAGTATATGTAGTAAATTTTACAAGCTTGATATCGATCTATGAAACACTTTGTGTGGATTATGAATAAATATGTTATGTGTATTCTCATCGAAAGAGAATTTCACATTTAGTTCCAAGTGTTTATTGTTTTTGTTCTACTGCATAGACTTATGAAATATAATCATTTTATTAAAAAATAAGTTTAAGAATTATGAATAAAAACCTTAACTCAATGACATGAAACACTTCGTAAACATAATTGCAGTCATTAATTTATTGACTGACATTAATTTATTGACTGACCTGAAAAATGGTTATCTGAAATGAAAAGAGATAGAAATAGAAACAGATTTATTTGATTTCCTCTTTCATACTTTTCTTGAAGTCTTTTGCCATTGTTGAAGTTTTAGCAATACTTTATGCAATGCACGAAAAATCAAACGTCGCTGAACTTTCACTGATGCTAATAAATCTTCAGACACTGTTAAATGCAATATCATTACAGTACTTTTGATCTCTGTTAGTTTATTATTAAACATCTGTGTTGTTGACAGAAAGGTATCCAGCGACTGAATTTTAAAATAAAACCGTAAAGATACTAATATGCAATAAATGTTAAGTTCAGTGAAAATGAAAAAAAAAAAATTTTTTATGAATATCGAACAATTTTTTGCTTGTAAAGTTTATTACATAAACATGAATTGTCTCATTCCACAATTCCTGAGATTTCTGGAAAACTATAAAATGAAGGAAATAAACCTTAATTGGCATCTTTATTTGTTCAACAAACACATAATCAGAAAACAGCGAAAAGAAAACGCTTCATAAAAATGGCCATTTTAAATATATCTTTATTTTTCTTAATTGATTTATAATCTGAATTGTTTATCAAATAAGATTTATGATTAATTGTTTTCTTTGAATCTGAAGAAAAATAATTTTCATACCTGAATAATGCAAATGCATTTATATGTATTTATAATAAAAAGAGAAAGAGAGTGAAAGAAAACAACAGATAGAAAAAGTGCGAAAAAAAGAGAGAGAAAGAAAGAAGAGAAAATAAGAATTAGCAGAGAATATTAAAGATCCATTATTTGCATTAATTCATGATTAGAAAACGTTACTTTTTCCAAATCTTAATTTGCCTTACAATTTTGAATCCGATAGAAAAGCGTTATTATATTTTGTTACTTTTAACAATTGCTTGACTTTAAATAATGTTTGACAAGAATTAATTCTTCAGCTTTAACTACCATTCATTGTTTTAGAAATTAAATCTCATTAATTTTTATTATTCAGTCAATGTTAATAATATCATGTTAAAACTATAAGGAGAAATTCAAGTAACACCCAACAAAGCTTTTGTAGAAATTGCTTGTAGATATCTTACAGAATATATATTTTTGTTGGGGATTTTAAATCATTTTAATTTCTGATACAAATCAAATATTTTCCAACAAAAAAAAATAGAAATAAACAAAAACTTTCTTTCCAATAATCAACATACAGTTAGGGTTATGATTATAACAGCATTACAACCGATTGAAGAGAGGCGCTGTGATTTCCCTTCAATTTTGCGCAATATCCACAAAATGAAAATGTTGCATAATGTTTGGTTAAGAAACATTTATTAAACTTTAAGTTGAAATCAAAATTTTTACAATTTCTGCTCAAGAGGTTTTTCAAGGTTGTTACTCAAATAGAGTGGGTATAATGTGTGTTACCAATATGAGATTATCGGTAAAAGATTATTTGTTCGTTTAAAGGTAACGGGGTCGATTATGCAACACTCCTGGCAACCAACTCCCCTTTCCCAGAAACACACACACGACAAAAAATATTCATATAGATAGATAGATAGATAGATAGATAGATAGATAGATAGATAGATAGATAGATACCAAAAATAATATTTATGGGTCCTATGAAATAAACATTGGATGTCATATTATCTTAATATGTAATTTACACAGAATTTATTGCACATTACACATTATTATATGTACAAAATTGTTTTCTCATAAAGCAAATCAACTAGCAGGAAGCTCTTAACAAATTCCTTAAAATGGTTTTAAGAAAAAAATATGCTGTTTTACATCGATAATGACACATTGTGGTCAAATTTTGGAAATGATTATTGAGAAATGAATTTATAGTGATTAGTTTGGAAAGCATTCCGTCAATTATTTGATGAGAATGATTTTACCTCTGATACTTCTGATAATTCAGCTCGTTTTGCTGAAATCACAAAATTTGTAACGCATCTTTATGTGAAAGTGAAATTCAATTTTTGTAAATATTTTTTTGGCTGATAATTTTGGAGGCAAATTTTTAAGTAATTTAAAAACTGAAAAATTTGATGCAATTAAAACTAATATGCATATTTTTTACGATATATTTGTACATCCTTAATTATCACTGAAATTATAGGTTCCCTAATTCAAAGATAATATATCTTATAAGCGTGAGTTTTGACAACGAATTAAATGAAATTAAAATCAAAATATGAATATACATTTCAGGATTTTCTTGCTTAAAGGAATTAGATATAGCAATATTATAACTCGTTAGTGATTGGAGAATTTTGATACAGAATTTTTTTTCATTTTATTCAGCAATAAATTTGCTTTTGATACGAATGATATTTTAGTGTTTAATGATATTTTAGTGTTTAAGGATATTTTACTTTAATTAATATTTTAATTTAAGCTTAAATGTCTTCCTAGAAATGGATAAAAATATTTCAATATGAGGAGTAGAATGCATTATTTACATGTATCAATAGACTTTAACTTCATCAGTTCCTGGATATGTTTATAATGAAATCTGGAAAAATAAATTCAGATCTCTTGAATTATCAACAAAATCAATATAACCAGTTGGTAATAATTATAACAACTGATAATGGCTAAATTTACTTCCTTAGAAAGATTAATATTATGATGGAATACTGATAAGTTCTATTTGCATGAGAAAATGATAATATTATCAATATCTATCAATCTTAATAAACAAATACAGGAATGTTGTAATACTTTATAATTATAGTGGCTGGAAGACATATTCCTTCTCATTTGAAAGGTTTGTCTATCGCATGCCTTTAAATTGGTCAAATTTTCAAATATTCATTGCACTTCAAAGCACTTAATAATTATGCTTAATAAAGAAACATTTAAATAATATTTAGATACTGGATTGCAATATAAGTAGGATAATTAATTACTCAAGCCTTTTGATCGGAATAAATGATTTCTACATTTTATTTGGACCATTCATTTATGCTAGACTATTATTGAGTACTACACGCATGATTATATATTTAATAAGTGACATTTTAAAAACAAAGTTACTTCTGACTCGTGTTTTTTATATTTCACAACTAATACAATTCTACAATTATGATATTTGCATTGAAAAAAGTAAATATGATTTTATAAAGAAACAAATTATGAACTTTATATGTCTTATTTTAATTTTTAAGTACGTGGATATCAGCATTACGTACGTTTAGTAGACTTTACATATATTTTAAACGAAATGCTTATGCGACTGTAAATCTCAACTTTAGATATTGTACGTAAATCTCAATTTTTGATATTGTACTTTTTGTAAGGCCAAACAAGAATGCGCCCATAAAGTTGTCATAACATAAGTGTACTTATATACAATGCATTTAAGGTCAGTAATAATACAGGAAATGTATCCAGGTTGCTCATATTTTAAATTAGTTAAATCTCTAATTATAGATACTCTGGAGATAAAAAAAAAAAAATCTACCTTTCTTAAGAAAGTGAAATGACCCTAACTCGTTCAGCACACATTTCTGAAAGACGATAATTTAGCAATTGGCGCAAATAGTGACAGTACTTTCAACAATTATGCTGTGCCTAAATAAACCATTACTGTTATGAAACGTGAGTCGTTGTATGAAAATACTGTGAAATAGTTTAATAAAGCTGCCCCATTATTGGTGAGAAAAAGTAATTTAAAATAAATCTGGCATCAATGGTGAAAACGAAGATATGAAAGCAAAATTTTCAATGGAAAATATTATAATATATTCTAATTATATGTCTTTCAAAAGGTTTGTATTTTCTGTCTGAATTATTTTTAAGTGTTTTTCTCGTTTGTTTTGTGTATTTTCGTTTTCGAATATTTTTGCTTCCGCCACATTTTACATGCATTTTTCTATTGATGTCATTCAGAGATCAATTTGAATGTAACATTTTTTTTGCCTGAAAAAGACGCTTTTGAAGTAAAAATTGATTTGAAATTATCCCTTACAAATGGAAGATATCCACCAAGAAAATAATGTGTGATGAAATTATATAATCTGATGACACAAAAATTTCAACTGATGATTAAAGCTCACATGTTTCTGATGACAATTTTCGATGGTCGTAACTGTTGCGATGGAGCTCAGTGTGGCTTATTTTCAAATTATGGTCAGTTAATCTGAGCTCCAAACGTTCGTCTGTGCTTGAGCGATTTACACAGTTATAGGCACGGTTCATGACATGAAGACGATTGTCACTGATCTCAAAATCCACGTCTGCCTTTGTATCGAGGTTGACACTCCGTGTTTGGCTGAAGGCGCTTGTTCGTGTATCAAAAGACACAGCCCTATTGTACTTGTAGTTGCGAACATATTTGCTACCTCGCACACACGAACATATCGCCAGCTTGAACATTTCGCGAAAGTTTTTCGACATGAAGGCGTAGACCACGGGGTTGACGCAACTGTTCATATATGACATTAGGAAAAATGTCTGCCGCATTGGTTTCAACCAGCCAACATGTAATACAGCAATATAGTGAAAAGCTGTCAATACATTCTGGATAAGGATTGGCCCCCAGCAGATAGCAAAAAGTAACACCACAATGAAAAGCATCTGCACGACCTGAAGAGAAGAACGAACAATAAAGATAGATTAAGAAATTGAAACAATCCATAAAAAAAAACAAAATATAAATGTATGTATTAGATAAATATGATACGGTTTGAGATTTAATCATAAGTGTTAAGTATATGTACAAAGAACAAATGAATTATCATAATCTTCTTTTCAATAATCCTTTTCTATTACGTATAATTAATTCACTCATATATATATATATATATATATATATATATATATATATATATATATATATATATATATATATATATCCCCAAAAATTAATTTTATCTAATAAAACCTAAATTTTTCAATCAATTGTAAGTGAAAAAATCATTTTTACTTATGAAAAAAAATTTTATTCAAATTTTACATTTTTATAAAGTAAGTTAATGTTCTTTTAACTTAAAATAATTTCAAATCATTCGAAAAGCAACTACCCACTTTGAAACCCAATCCACTAACCACCACAACAAAATTTACCCTCAAAGAGGATATAAGTATGATTTTTAATTTTGCATAAAACCACAGTTAGCTGCAGATTTCGTCAGTTTCAATTAATCATCCAGGAACTTCAATGTTTGTTTAATTTTATAAAAAATCAGAATACACAAGCGTCTTGATTTAGTAGAAGTGACACTAGAATTTAATTTCTGTTTCAAATTTTTGGCTCCATATTCTTATATGCCAGATATTATAGAGAATACTTCTACTAAAATAAAATTTGCTGTGAGATTTGAATTAAGAATAGAAAATGTTGAACATCTTCTAAATATATATCTATGTTGCTTAAATTTACTATCTGAATCATATTGCAATGTACATTTTTTTGAAAAATGAGACACTATTAAAAAATTTTGTGGCTATTTTATATTCATTCTTTAATATCTTTCCATTAAAAGGTTTTTTAAAAACATAGTTATGAATACAATTACATATATATATATATATATATATATATATATATATATATATATATATATATTATTTACATTATTCCGACTATTGTTGCCATATTTATGGCAACGTAGTACGCTCCGGCCTTCTTCAGGTGGTGGGAATGTCGAACTGAACTCTTTTTTTTTGCTCGCTGTGGTAGACTGAATAGTTCCACGTGCCATGTCTAATGGATGTCAGTTATCTCCTGTTAATTCCCCTCTAACCAGGTATTGAACTCACACTCTTTGGGTCCTATCACTGGATCTAACTAACGCTTTTATCCACTGTGTCATGAGTCCTTTTTACCAGTGCTCAGATTGCAATTTTTGCTGTTATCATTGCATATTTTTTACCAGAGCTCAGAATGCAATTTTTGTTGTTATTATCGCATTTCTCTGGCACTATTTATTACTGGTTCCCATATTGTATTCATTTCTATGCTTGGTCGGCACAGGGGATTTTGTGGCCTAGCATATGTGCTGATTCCTTAAGTTTACGAATTTTCCAATGTGTATTTGTCTATGATTTCAATCTGATCCCACAGAGGTCGGTGATCTCCCTTTTCTCTCCATATGTGGTCAGCCACGCCTGATTTTTCCACTTCACCTCGTGTTACAGCTTTCTCGTATTCTTGAAGCATTACCTTAAGGGGGTGACCTGTCTCCCCTTTATATTTCTTTCCGCAGCTGCACGGGATGGCGTACACACAATCTTTAGTCATGTTCGCCTCTAGGGGGGGTCTTTCTCGGGAAAGATATCTGCGAAGTGTCGTCCAGCTTTTGAAGGTTGTCCAGATATTGTATGGACAGCAGATCCTTTGTATTTTCTCTAATAACCCCTTGGCATAAGGCAGGCAGCCTTTTTTTGAGTGTTGTTGTCCTCCTTTTGTTGTACTCGCCTATCCCAATTTATTGGGGCGCTGCCATATGCCCAGGATAGTTGTTACGCTGTAGGGTACTACTTATACAGATCTATACCTACATCTAATGTCCCTGGATCGCCACGTATGACTTTTGCTTGGTGTTATCAAGCGTTATTTTTAGTGGAAATCTGTATTTGAATAAACGCTCTGTATATTTTGAACAGTATTTATTTCGTCTACCGACCTGGTATTTAAAATAAATGAAGCGTCTACTCAAATGCGAGCATCCACTAAAAATAACATTCAAAGTAATAAAAAATATGTCGGATTAAAAAATGATATCCATTTATATATATATATATATATATATATATATATATATATATATATATATATATATATATTACTTGAAAACTGAAAATTATGCTTATGTAAAAAAGATCGTCAATATCGCACCAAATACGTTTGTAAAGATGGACCCAATGGATATAAAAATCAACACTTCATATATATATATATATATATATATATATATATATATATATTATCTTTAAAATATATTTTATCTTTGTTTGCTATCTATTTACACAACCACATTAAGTAGATTCCCTCTGCCTTCACTATATAATATGAGTGTTAGAGTCTCTAGGTCCTCTTTCTCCATTATGTGACCCAGAAATTTCAACTTTCACTATCTGATTGTTAAGTATTTCTTATTTTCTTTGAGACTTCGTCTTTACATACATGTTTTGTCCATGGTACTGTTAGCAGTTGATGCTAAAACCACATCTCCTTCGCTTGAAGTCTGTAAAACTTAGATTGATATAATAGTTCATCATTTTCTTCTCACGATATTTCCTATACTTAGTTTTTGAAAGATTCTGTCCGCAGATAATAAATCCTGCTAGATTTTTTTATTTCCCTTCGGATCGTCTCGTTAATTTCATAGGTGAGAAAATGTATTCTTGTATTACTCTTCTTTCTATTCCTATTTTTAAATTTAGAATTTATGAAACTTTGAATAAGGAAATTTTGTGTAATGTATAGATTATAGGAAAAAATAATACTTTTTGTTTTTTTCAAAATTCATAATGAACAAAATCTCAAGGAAATATGTTACATACATTATTGCTTAAAATATCTTTTTGTGATTTGGCCCTCATTTTAATTATAAGAAAAAAATCAGCTATAATAATTTTAAAGATATTTTACCTAAGGTATATCTAAATTTTGTTCTAATTCATTCCAACTAGTTTCTAATTTTCTTCTTTTTCTTTATTTTTTTTCTCTTTTTCTTTTATTTATTTGTAGGATTATTTTCCTGAAAACACTTATGAAATTGTTTATCGATTATGTGAACATTATGACGAAAATCACTTCAGGTATCTTAAAAAAAAGTATATCCACACAAAATCATACACATAAACATCATAATTATAGATGATAGAATTGTTTATATTAAATTGGCTTAACGATTATTTCAACAATTTTAATTTTAGTTTTGATTTCAATAATGCGAAATAGCCAAATCTCTTAATGGAAGGCAGAAATAAGAATAAAGTGATGTTTTCATTGACAGTATTAAACACAAGGAAAATTAGATATTTTATGCATTGATGAAGAAAGAAACAGCAATTATGAATTAATTCTTTCAATATTTTCTCAAAAAACACTTAAATTCTTATTCTTCAATATACAGTGTGCGATGGGTAAATTGTCTTTTAAATTACGCGAAAATGAAAATAATTCTGACATCTCATTTTAACAGATATATTTACGAAAATTACACAAAAATATTTTGAAATAGTAAAGTGTAAATTTATTCAATAAAATAGCCTTTGGTTTCGACCGCGGCCTTCAGACGATTTCAGAATCTCTTGCATCTTTTCTGGACAGTCTTCTTGTTTAAGTTGGTGAACGCTGTTATAATCATTGACTTCAGTTTATCTTTACTATTACAAGGAGTTTTGTTGGTCCAAATCTAATAATTAAGATGTATGGGGAGTTAGGTGGCCAAATGTAAGGGATGATGTGGTCGCAGAAATTATCTAACAAACCATGACTGGGCTCTCCTACTTGTGCAGCATGGTGCAGAGTCCTATTGCCAGACATATGGTCTTCCAGCAGCGACCCTCTTAACCCACAGCAGCACTACCTCAGCAAATCACTTGATGTAAGCTTCCGTGTTGAGTCTTAGACCTTGTGGGAAGATGAATGGAGGCATAACGTCGCCATCAATAGTGATCACGCCGAACACCATGATGTTGACTGGATATATCATCCAACTCTTTCCGAATCCTCTGTACTCTCCTCAGATTGAAACCCAAACACTTTCAATTGTTCTTATTGTAGCTTCAGGTGCGAATACCAAGCAGTACAGCATTCTGTTTCCGTTTCTGACGGAGTGAATTGCGCCTTGGTGCTCTTTCTTTTTTTTTTTTCTTTTTTTTTCACAGACGAAACCCAATTGACCTTACTATAGTGTGTAATCGACAAAATCAAAAACAGATAACGCACATCCGCGAAACAATTTACATATCGCACCCTGTACATATACTTATAGACACAAACATATATTCATATATGAATGAAAAGTCTCACTGCTGATACTGCGGAGTCTGAACGTGAAGCTCTAGACAATGAAAATGCAGACCGCCATTTACTATAAATAGAGATATCGTGCCACTGACTTGGGTGGTTACAATTACGTGTTGTTTAGTTAGTAAGAAACAACGAACCCTCTTCGTATCGTCGACATTTTTGGATACCTTTTTGCTGTT